CCAAGAGAGCTGGCCAGCCCTGGGCTACTCGAAGCAAACTCACTTTCAGCTAGGCACTGAAGGCAGCAAGGTGAATACGTATATTTTTCCTTTTGAGTGATACTCATGTATTAACTCGCAGTTCTGTAGGTCCTAAGCTCATGCAGGCTTTGCTGTGTTCCATGCTCAGGGCATCACACGGCTGAAGCAGAGATTCACTTCTTTCAGAAGTCACTTCTTTTTAGGAATTCACTTCTATTCAGATTGTTGGCAGAATTCAGTTCCTTGCAGTTGTAGAACTGAAGCTCCCATATCCTTACTTGTGATTCTGCCTGCAACTAGAAGCTTCCTGCATTTCTTGTCCTGTGCCCCATTCTATCTTTTATTAATTTTTTTAGATGGAGTTTTGCTCTTGTTGCCCTGGCTGGAGTGCCATGACGTCATCTCAGCACACCACAATCTCCACCTCCCAGGTTCAAGCGATTCTCCTGCCTAAGCCTCCTGAGTAGCTGGGATTACAGGCATGGGCTGCCACGCTCGGCTAATTTTGTATTTTTAGTAGAGACGGGGTTTCCCCATGTTGCTCAGGCTGGTCTTAAACTCCCAACCTCAGGTGATCCACCCGCCTCGGACTCCCAAAGTGCTGGGATTACAGGTGTGAACCACCACGCCCAGCTGTATCTTTTAATTTATGGCAAATATTTTTTTTTTTTTTTTTTGAGACAGAGTTTCGCCCTTGTTACCCAGGCTGGAGTGCAATGGCGCGATCTCGGCTCACCGCAACCTCCGCCTCCTGGGCTCAGGCAATTCTCCTGCCTCAGCCTCCTGAGTAGCTGGGATTACAGGCACACGCCACCATGCCCAGCTAATTTTTTTTTTGCACTTCTAGTAGAGACGGCGTTTCACCATGTTGACCAGGATGGTCTCGATCTCTCGACCTCGTGATCCACCCGCCTCGGCCTCCCAAAGTGCTGGGATTACAGGCTTGAGCCACCGCGCCTGGCTTATGGCAAATATCTTAACTGTCCCACGATTTGTCTTGAATAAAAAGGAAAGACATGGGAAAACCCCTTAGAAACAGATGTTCAGTGGGACTTTTCTTTCGTTTGAGACCAGCCTGGCCAACATGGTGAAATCCCATCTCTACTAAAAATACAAAAATTAGCTGGGAGTGGTGACGCACACCTGTAATTCCAGCTACGTGGGAGGCTGAGGCAGAAATCACTTGAACCCAGGAGGCAGAGGTTTCAGTGAGCTGAGATGATGCCACTGCACTCCAGCCTGGATGACAGACACTTCGTCTTAAAAAAAAACAACTAAAGGCCAGACGCGGTGGCTCACGCCTGTAATCCAGCACTTGGGAGGCCGAGGCGGGTGGATCATGAGGTCAAGAGATCAAAGATACTTGAGGCTGACGAAGGAGAACTGCTTGCCCCCAGGAGGTGGAGGTCGCAGTGAGCCCAAATTATGCCACTGCCCCCGAGCCTGGCCACAGAGTGGGACTCTGTCTCAAAAAAAAAGAAAAAAAGAAAAACAAACACCCAAAGAACAATAGTGACATGTGGAAGTAACGCAAAACTCAAATTTCAGTATCCTTAAAGTGGTGTTCAAACACAGCTGTGCCTATTTATGTTGTTTATGCTGCATGCAAACTGCAGAGCTGATTTGTTGCTACAGAGATTGTAAGGCCCACAAAGCCTTCAATATTGACTGTCTGACTCTTTACAGAGACTGGTCAGGGAGGGCTTCCCTGAGGAGGTGATATTTAAGCAGAGACCTGAATAAGAAGAAGACTGGAGGTAGTGAGCAGAGCCGTCTAGGCAGAGGGAACAGAGAGCAAAGGCAGTTTTCTCTCTAATCTTGTAAATCTTCTAAAGAGAAGTGTTATTAAGAAAAAATATATATGAGGGGCCCTGAGGCTCTGAGGGTGCTGTAGCCTCTCAGGGTCCTGGAAACTGTAGGTCCTGAGGAGGGGTTGGGAGCCAGCACCGTCTGGCACCAGAATTTGCGGTGCCTTACGCTGGCACCTTCTCAGCCTGACATGGCATAGGGGCCCAGAAAATGCATGTTGAATGGCTTTATTTACCTTCCTTGGGCAAGGACCGTGGATTTTAGATTCATTGCCAGGAATTGGTGAGAAGAGCCAACCCACCCATGGGCCTGAGAGCAGGTTCTCTGCCGTCTCATGGTTGGTAGCAGGCCAAGAGAAGGCTAAGGCCAGGAGCTCCATGACCATGTAAAGCCCTGATCTGGCCCTGACAGCAGAATCTGTAGCAAGGGCAGTAGGCGGGACACTGGATAGGGAAGAACAGCCCTGGGTGAATTACAGCCTGGTGGGGTTTTCCGGTGCTTGCAGAATGGCAGCCTCAAGCCCTCCACTGACAAGCGTGGCCAGGGAGAACTCCACTCTTACCCTCCCCGCCCCCCCAGACGGAGTCTTGCTCTGTTGCCTGGGCTGGAGTGAGGTGGCATGATCTGAGTTCACTGCAACCTCTGCCTCTCAGGTTCAAGCAAGTCTCCTGCCTCACCCTCCCGAATAGCTGGGACTACAGGCGAAAGCCCAGCTAATTTTTCGTATTTTATTAGAGATGGAGTTTCACCATATTGCCCAGGCTGGTAGCGAACCCCTGAGCTCAGTCAATCTGCCCTTCTTGGCTTCCCAAAGTGATGGGATTACAGGCGTGAACCACCGCGCCTGGCCGAGAACACCACTCTCAATCCTTGGCGGACCAACCAGGTCATTCCCGCCAGGCTCTGTGCTGAGGGAGGACAGTAGGTTATTAGCTCCATTTAAGAGCCAGAGAAATTAAGGCAGTGGAGAGCAACAGAGCTACTGGTTTAAAACCCAGGCTCTGTGCCTGGATCCCAGCCTTGTCATTTGGTATCTGTGGGACTGCAGGCAAGTGCCTTGATTTCTCTATGCTTTAGTCTGTGGATGCTTGTATCTACCTCAAAGCTATGTAAAGAATTAAGGAAACAATAGCCCAACACCACACGGCAGGAAGGAAGCCATTTTATTATTATTCAATAAATATTGGTGGATCCCGAAGACATTCTCTCATAGCTTTGGCAGCACTCTTAAGAGACCTTAGAGGACGAAGAACTCAAGGTCAGAGCCAGATTTCTTCTCTACCCAGTTCCTCTGGCCCAAAACCCTGACATCACACCTGACTCTTCTTTTACACGCCATAGTACATCAGCCAACCCTGTCTTCAGTATGCATCTGGAGTCCAACTGTTCCCGCCACCTCCACGGTATTACTTTTATCCAAATTGCTCTCAGTGGTCACCTAGATTATTGCAAAAGCCTCCTTACTGGCCCTGGGGCTTCCATCCTCTCTCCCCCAACCCCCAATCAACTCCCAACAGGCAGCAAAACTCATGTTGCTCCTCAGTTCAAAACCCTTCTGTGACTTCCTAACATACCTAATTAACTAACTGATTTATTTACTCAAATGATTATTATTGAATGTCTACTATCTGCCAGGTACTGTTGTAGGCATTGCAGACAAAATGGAGAAGAAAATAGACAAAAATTTCTACATTCATGTAGCTTCCGTTCTCATGGAGGGAAATGGTTAATAAACCAAATGTATGAGTAAAACGTGGTAGGTTGTCATGTGAAAAATAGTTTAGGGAAGGTTGGATTTTTTTTTTTTTTTTTTTTGAGACGGAGTTTCGCTCTTGTTACCCAGGCTGGAGTGCAATGGTGCGATCTCGGCTCACCGCAACCTCTGCCTCCTGGGTTCAGGCAATTCTCCTGCCTCAGCCTCCTGAGTAGCTGGGATTACAGGCACGCGCCACCATGCCCAGCTAATTTTTTGTATTTTTAGTAGAGACGGGGTTTCACCGTGTTGACCAGGATGGTCTCGATCTCTTGACGTCGTGATCCACCCGCCTCGGCCTCCCAAAGTGCTGGGATTACAGGCGTGAGCCACCGCGCCCGGCGGCCTTGGATTTTAAGTAGGGTGATCAAGGAGGCCTAACACGCAAGATAAGGGTTAAATACAAGGCAGAACGTACAAGAGGTGGGAGTCAAAGAGCTACCCAGAAGAAGATAAAGATAAAGCCTAGATAAAGGCTCAGCAGGTGCAATGGCGGAAGTATTCCTGGTGAGTTTTGGACACAGCCAGGAAACCACTGTGACAACAGTGGAAAGTGAACGTGTGTGGGAGGGGAGATATAGAGCCCCATGTCCCCCTCCCACACACTTCAGAGAGGAAAAGGTGGCAGGGTTGAATTCTGTACATTCCCCAAGGTTTTTTTTTCTCTGATGGGAGACTGGAAGCCATTGGAGGGTCTAAGCAGGAGTGATGAGTTAACAGATCACTCCAGCTGCTGCGTGGAAGTCATAAGCAACAGGGGCAAGTCAGAGACCCTGAATGGAGAAGCCGTTGCAATTATCCAGGTGAGACAGAGTGGCTTGGATCAGGAAGGGAGTTAGCAATAGAAGCGGTTAATAAAGTCCAAAGTCCTTATGAGTGGGTGCCGGTCCTCCCGATGGGGGTCCCACCTACCTCTCCCACCTCACTTTGTTCCTCCCTGCATCCCCACCCCACTGGCCACTGCTAGGCACATAGGAGGCATCGATTAAACATCTGCTCAATCAATGAACTACTCAAGGAATGGTCCACCGCTAGATCATCAGCGTCCATTTTAACGCTAGGCATATAGTCTGAAAGCAATACAAGTTTACAGATGGAAAGCTGCACAGGCCTGCCAAGTCCAGGCGGTTATTCCTCTCCACAGCTGAGGGAAACTGAGGCTCAGATTGAGGAAGTGCTCCCTAGGGTCTCTCGGCACAGCTTAGGCTAGAGGCTGGACACCCTTCTTCACAATCCTTTTAGCACAGCGAAGTCCAGGGCACTGGATGGAGGGCGCCTGCCCTAAGGGTGAGTCAGTGATCTCACAGAGTTTCCCCAAAACGACCCTACCCTGTGGTGGGGAAATCCGGAATTTCTCGTGCCCAGATGGTCACGTGCCTCAGGGCGGACAGGCGTCCGGAAAGCCCCGGGAGGGACTAAGGAGCTGTCCTCCCACGCGCTTCCTCCCACCCTCGGGCCACTGAGACCGAGGGACAGACGGCCGCCCTCGCGCGGCTGAGGCCACGCCTCCCGCTCGTCGGCCCGCGCCTCCAGCGGAAGCCGGAAGCAAAAGCGAGTTCTTCTAGCCCCGCGGCTCCGAACTCGGTGGTCTTGGAAGCTCCGCAGGACGGGGGAGAAGATGGCGGAAGAGGAGTGAGTGGGCTTTTTCCCGGGCTGCGGAGGCGGCGGGGCTGGGCCGCGGCGGGGCTGGGCCCCGGCGGGTGACAGCGAGCGCCTCAGGCCGCCCTCCGGCCCCGGAAGGCGGAGCTTCTTTTGCTGGTTGGCCAGGACTGACCATGCCGGTGCCTACGAGGAGGGCGGGATGGGCGGGCCTGGGCCCAGGTGGGCTTTGCGTTCTCCTGGAGGTCTGTTCCTCGAGCTGGAAATCTGCTGCCCAGCGCAGGCCCCGAGAGCCGTCTTGCGAAAAATGCAACCCATATTTGCTTTCCCGGTTTTCGGTTATCTCATGGTTACTGAGTCCGCTTCCGCCGCCTCCAGGAAGTCGTCCGGATTCTCCACACCCACCTCCTACGTAGCCAGTCGCCTCTTCCTCTGTAACGATCAGTTTTCATGTCTTTCTCCTTCACTAAGTTTCATTCAGCCATTAACTGTTAGCCATCTACTCAATTCCAGGCCGTGGGCACATAGGAGAGGAGGCTGACCAGGAGCCGCTCTTTGGGAGCTTCCATTCCAGTGGGAAAAGAAAACCATAATTAGTCAAGATGGTTTCAGATCGTGATGAATTAACCCCATTTGTGCGCTAAGCATGTGGGAGTTATTTATATTCTGCTGTTCAAGGTCATCCCCTAGGTCTGATTTTTCACACATGTCTGCAATTCAAAAAGTTGCAACCTCTGGCGTAAATGCGTTAAATGTTCTGAAGGAAGCAGAATACAGTTAGGGTTGAGGAGGTCGCTCAGGAAAAAGTGACATTCAGCAGAAGCTTGAATGACCAGAAGGAGGGATAGGAGAAGGAACATCAAGTTCAAAAGGCCTGGCTCAAGAAAGGGTTTAGTGCATTGAGTGACAGGCAGCCTGGCTACTGTGTAGAAAGGAGGGGGTTAGCTGTACAAGGGGAGATAGGGAAGGGCCGTCTATGTCCTCCAGGTACTTTGGGCAAGTCCCAAAGTCATCTCCATACCTGCAGGGCAGAGTTTATTGCAGATTGTAGATGCCTTATCATTGTGGAATGAATATGTGAACATGAATAAAGAACCCTTTCATTGATACTGGACTCCTTCACCTGACAACTTTTCGAATAGTATTTCTTGGCCAGATTGGGGTCATTTCATGTGATTAGCTTATGTATTGAGCAGTTGCTCAGTCCCAGACTAAACAGGGCCTCAGCAGTACGAAATAAAAGAGGCAGTGTAGCCTAGCGACTTCAAGTTTGGGTTTTCAGCTTGATTCTGCCACTAACTGAGATGTTGGTGAAGTTTTGCAACCTCCCTGAGGCTTAGTTTTGAATGGGTAAAAAAGGGAAAGTAATCGTACCCACGTCAGGCATGTTATACCTATTAAATGAGAGGTAGTGTGTTACCTAGTTCCTGGAATGAAGCAGTGCACGGAAAATACTAACAATTACAGTTAATTACAACAATATTGCACTAGTTGACAATCCCAGAGAAGAGAGCTGTGGGAACAGAAGCAGTGGAGTGGGTAAATTGGGGTGAGGTAAGATGGGGTAATAGAGAGGAGGTGACATTTGAGCCTTTTGAAATTTGAGAAGGATTTGTAAAGTAGGGCAGGGCATGCCCAGATCAACAACTGGGCAAATTTATGTGGCTTCTTCAACTTGTGGAAGTAATGCAAGGAAAAGAATGTAAATTGGAGAAATAAAGATATAAATAAACAGTGTTTGACCATGGAAAGGATGAGACCACAGGTTGCTTCCCTTTAAATGCCCCAGTAAGTGCCAAAGAGCAGGCAGCATTTCGATTCTGTACTAGCCTGGATTCCCTGTCGTTCCTGTCCTCTAAGTGGCTGTACAAAAGCACCGGAGGCCACTAGTACCCTTGTGCTGTGCAAGGAGGGATTTCTCTTAATAAGTTTCTCTCCAAGGCCTGCCTGCTAGTTAAAAGGCTTGTGAATCCCATAAAGCTCTTGGTCAGCTTTGCTTTCTGGTGTGAGGTGTGTGAATTGATATTCTGGGGCCCTTTTCTATGATCTAATTCTGCTTTTTATGTCTTCAGTAGGTTCCCCAATACAACTCATGAGGGTTTCAATGTCACCCTCCACACCACCCTGGTTGTCACGACGAAATTGGTGCTCCCGACCCCTGGCAAGCCCATCCTCCCTGTGCAGACAGGGGAGCAGGCCCAGCAAGAGGAGCAGTCCAGCGGCATGACCATTTTCTTCAGCCTCCTTGTCCTAGGTGAATACAGACACCGTCATCCCCTTCATCTGCCATCTCCAGGGTCTGTGTGTTTAACCCTGTCACTGCTCTTGACTGTGTCAGGTCTCCCTCCCATTTGGTTTTCATATCAAACACTGAAAGAACATGATCAGTTCATAACAGGGAACTCTTTTTTATAAAATAATGGCACTTAGCAGTTCTGAAGAACTCTTAGGTAATACCTTAGCCTTTGAAAGAAAGAATTAAAGAATTTTTGGCCTAGAAAGAATCTTGAGGGTGGGCGTGGTGGCTTACCCCTGACATCCCAGCACTTTGGGAGGTAGAGGTGGGCAGATCACTTGAGGCTAGGAGTTCAAGACCAGCCTGGCCAACATGGTGAAACGCCATCTCTACCGAAAATACAAAAATTAGCCAGGCATGGTGGTATGTGCCTGTAATCCCAGCTCCTTGGGAGGCTGAGGCAGGAGAATTGTTTGAACCTAGGAGATGCAGTTTGCAGTGAGCCAAGATCACGCTACTGTACTCTAGCCTTGGCGATGGAGTAAAACACTGTCTCAAAAGAAAAAAAAAACAACAAAAACCATAATTTCGTTCAACCTTCTCTTTAATGGGTAAGGAAATTTCAGCATGGAGAAGTCAAGCGATTGTCATACCAGGCTGGTAAAGAACAAGAGACTGATAACCAGGTTGCCAGATACCAGTCAAGAGGTTTAGATAAAAGACAAAAACTTAAATGTCTCCCGGAGGCAGTAGACAGTAGACAGTTGTTTTAGACAAAAGAAATCCAGTTGAAACTATACAACTACTTTTGATTAGCTAAGGAATAAATAGCTTTGAGTTTGACTCAAGTCCAGAGTCTTGTTTGGCCGGACACAGTGGCTGATGCCTATAATACCAGCACTTTGGGAGGCCAAGGTGCATGGATCACCTGAGTCAGGAGTTTGAGACCAGCCTGGCCAACATGATGAAACCCCATCTCTACTAAAAATACAAAAATCTTTATCTGGGTGTGGTGGCATACACCTATAATCCCAGCTATTCAGAAGGTTGAAGCACTGGAATCATTTGAACCTGGGAGGTAGAGGTTTCAGTAAGCTGAGATTGCACCACTGCATTCCAGCCTGGGTGACAGAGCAAGACTCCGTCTCAGAAAAGAAAAAAACAGAAGGTTGAGAGTGGTGGCTCACATCTGTAATCCCAGCATTTTGGGAGGCCGAGGCGGGTGAATCACAAGGTTGGCAGATCGAGACCAGCCTGGCCAATATTGTGAAACCTCATCTCTACGAAAAATACAAAAAAAATTATCCAGGTGTGGTGATTGATGGGCACCTGTAATCGTAGTTACTCAGGAGGCTGAGGCAGGAGAATCCCTTGAACCTGGGAGGTGGAGGTTGCATGAGCCAAGATCACGCCACTGCACTCCAGCCCGGTCGACAGAGAGACTCTGTCTCAAAAAAAAAAAAAAAAAAAAAAAAATTCTTGTTTGAAAGTGAAGCAGACTTTTTGTTTGCTGCTTTTCTTTAATGATACCAAAGTCATAGTCCTAATGAGATTAGATCTTTTCAGAAAGTTGAAAGGTGGACTGTTTTTTTTTATTATTTCTCTATTGTGTATTAGGACTGTTTTTTAAGGAAAAGTGTAACTTCTGTAACATTTGCATTCAGTCTCTGGTAAGTGCTCAAAGAATTTTAATAATATGTTTGAGGCCAGAGGTTTGAGAACAGCCTAGACAACATGGTGACTCTGTCTCTACAAAAAAATAAAATATTTTAATAATATAGTCTTTCTCTTTGAAGTCCTAGAACTTGGCCGGGCATGGTGGCTCACACCTGTAATCGTAGCACTTTGGGAGGCCGAGGTGGGTGGATCACCTGAGGTCGGGAGTTTTAAGACCAGCCTGGCCATCATGGTGAAACTCCCATCTTTAAAAAAAAAAAAAAAAAAGAAAGAAAGAAATCCTAGAACTCATTCTTTATCTGTCATAGTTTTAGAAACTCTTAAACCGATACTGAAAAAGTACACAGACCAGATTTATACCATGTCTCATATAGGTATAATATACCCTGGTAATTTTTTTTTTTTTAAGACAGAGTCTCACTTTGTCACCCAAGCTGGAGTGCAATGTAGTGATCTTGGCTCACTGCAGCCTCTGCCTCCCCGATTCAAGCAGTTCTCTTGCCTCAGCCTCCTGAGTAGCTGAAATTGCAGGCATCTGCCACCATGCCTGGCTAATTTTATGTATATTTAGTAGAGACAGGGTGTCACCATGTTAGCCAGAGTCTCAAACTCCTGACCTCAGGTCATCTGCCCACCTCAGCCTCTTGAAGTGCTGGGATTACAGGTGTGAGCCGCCACGCCTGGTCCACCCTGTAAACATAGTTGAATTCTTTTTCTAGGGGATTACTTCAACAATGAAGGACTCTTTTTTGTTTCGTTTTCCTTTTTTTTTTTTTTTTTTTTTTTGGTGATAGTAATTGAAGACGAAGAAAAGCATTTCTTTTCTTAATTAAGAAATTAGTAGCCAAAGCCTTCCTTCAGGGTTAAGGAATATTATTGTCTATTTACATTGCTGTCAATTTGATGTGTTAGACAATGTAAAAGGTGGGCCTGGAAAAAAAAAAAAAAAAAGCTTTTGTAATTACTTTTTTTAAGGTAAGTTGAAAAGTATAATATAATATGACTTTTAAAGTAACTTCCAGAGTGTGGAGCATTTAAGATTAGCTGTACAAAACACCACAAAACAGGTTTCTCTAATGTACTTTTTTTTTTTTTTGAGACGGAGTTTCGCTCTTGTTACCCAGGCTGGAGTGCAATGGCGCCATCTCGGCTCACCACAACCTCCGCCTCCTGGGTTCAGGCAATTCTCCTGCCTCAGCCTCCTGAGTAGCTGGGATTACAGGCACGTGCTACCATGCCCAGCTAATTTTTTGTATTTTTAGTAGAGACGGGGTTTCACCATGTTGACCAGGATGGTCTCGATCTCTTGACCTCGTGATCCACCCACCTCGGCCTCCCAAAGTGCTGGGATTACAGGCTTGAGCCACCACGCCCAGCCCTGTACTTTTTAAACCAGGCAAAATCCTGCCCAGTGTTAATACATTTTTGGGGCCAGAAAGGCTGAACTGTATTTAATAGTGCTGTATATTTCTCTTGGACTGTCCTCTCCAAACAGATTATAAATCTAGATTCTAGAGTCACACCAGTGTTAGGTGGGTTTCATTTTCACCTAATTAGATTCTTTTTCTTTTTTTAAGGTTCATTTTTATTTAATTAATTAATTTTATTTATTTTTGAGACGGAGTTTCTCTCTTGTTACCCAGGCTGGAGTGCAATGGCGCCATCTCGGCTCACCGCAACCTCCGCCCCCTGGGGTCAGGCAATTCTCCTGCCTCAGCCTCCTGAGTAGCTGGGATTACAGGCACACACCACCATGCCCAGCTAATGTTTTGTATTTTTAGTAGAGATGGGGTTTCACCATGTTAACCAGGATGGTCTCGATCTCTTGACTTCGTCATCCAACCGCCTCGGCCTCCCAAAGTGCTGGGATTACAGGTGTGAGCCACCGCGCCTGGCCAAGGTTCGTTTTTAATGTTTTATTCCACTGCGACAGCCTACTCTAGCTTTCTACCACCCCGCATTCTCTGCATCTGAGTCCAGGGTCCTTTCTGCTCCAGCACTGGGTGCTCTGAAGAGATAGGGCTGCCACATGGGGGGCCTCTCACTGGAGCTGAGCCCACTCTGGGGAACCCTGGACCTGGCCCATGCCCCTAATCAGATTCTTGGTAGTTTATGAGTCAGTGTTTCTGTTTATGTGGAGGTCAGCATGTATTAGCAAAATAGAATTATGCTTTCTTTTTAAGTAAATTTGATGGCATTGTTTCTCTGTCTTTCATATTATTATCATTTATTTCTGATTAGATATCCAAACAATGAAAATCTTTTTTTTTTCCTTTGAGATGAAATCTCTTTCTGTTGCCCAGGGCAGAGTGCAGTGGAATGATCTCAGCTCACTGCAACCTCTGCTTCCCAGATTCAAGTGATTCTTCTGCCTCAGCCTCCCAAATCACTGGGGTTACAGGTGCCTGCCACCATGCCTGGCTAAATTTTGTATTTTTAGTAGAGATGGGATTTTCCCATATTGGCAAGCTGGTCTTGAACTCCTGACGTCAGGTGATCCTCCCACCTCAGCCTCCCAAAATTTTTGCTGGGATTATAGATGTGAGCCTCTGCACCTGGTTCAAACAATGTAAATCTGATAATGTTTTAGAAATTACTGTTATTAGGTAGCTTGCTAATTCATAAATAAATGAACTCAAGTGAATTGAGGGAAATTAATCCATGGATTATTCTAGACCTCAGAACTCCTGACTGGGAATTTATTTGCCACTTTTGGTTACTCTTAGTTAATTCAAATGAAGCGGTAACTGTCCTGTAAGCACATAGGACTGCAGTGTGTTCCTCTTTGTTGAGAAGGGATGATATAACTCTGTAGTTAGTTTTGACTTTTAGAAGCTTGAAATCAGGTGACTTGCACTTAACCTTTGTTGATCTTTGACTTCACAAGAAACAGTGGCGAATCATTGTTATTTACTTACACTAAATTAACAGTTAACATTATTTGACACATACGTTTTATGGGCCTTGAAACTTAATGGAGTTATTGGAATTGATACGTGTATTATGTATTTTCCATAGTCATTACTCCAGGCATGAAAACTTGGAAGCATACCCTCCATACTACAGAGAAGTTTTTGCCCTTTCTTGCTCTGTGTTTTTCCAAGTGTACTTGAAAACATGTGCTTGTTTTTGCATATACATATGTCTATTTGTAACCACATACACATACACGTGTAATGCTGTAATATATGTTTGGAGTTGCAAATTTGTTTTGACATAAATGGGGTTCTATAACTTTTCCTCACACAGAATGTCTTGGAGATCACTGTGTTGGTGTTTTTTCTGTCTACCTCATTCTTTTTTTTTTTTTGGTAGGAAAATGTGCATAACATATATTTATAGTTTTAACCACTTTAAAATGTATAATTCAGCAGCATGTAGTACATTCACAGTGTTGTGCAACCGTAACTACTATTTAGTTTCAGAACATTTTCATCACCCCAAAAGAAAACCAATAAAGGCAGTAATTCCCCATCCCTCCCTCTTCTAGGTCATTGGCAACCACTATTCTGTTTTCTGTCTCTGGGAATTTGCCTATTTACAATATTTCATATAAATGAAATATAAAAGGCCATATAATATGTGGCCTTTTGTGTCTGGTTTCTATTACTTAGCATAATGTTCTCAAGATTCATGTTATAGCATATGTTAGAATTGTGTTCCTTTTTATGGCTGAGTGATATTCCACTGTATGGATATACCACATTTTGTTTATTCATTCATCAGTGAACATTTGGATTATTTCTACCTTTTGGCTATTGTGAATACTGCTGCTATGAATATTTATGTACACGTTTTTGTGTAGATAAATGTTTTTATTTCTTTTGGACATACACCTCCAAGTGGAATTACTGGGTCAAATGGTTACTCTATGTTTAACTTTCTCGGAAACTGACAAATGTTTTCCACAGGGGCTTCACCATTTTACAAGGGTTCCAGTTACTTCATGTTCTTGCCAACACTTGTTTTCTGGTTTGAAAAAAATGATAACCTAGGCATGGTGGCTCATACCTGTAATCCTAGTGCTTTGCGAGGCTGAGGTGGGCATATCACTTGAGGCCAGGAGTGCGAGACCAGCCTGGCAATATGGTGAAACCCTGTCTCTACTAAAATTACAAAAAAATTAACTGGGCGTGGTGGCATACACCTAGAATCCCAGCTGTTCAGAAAGTTGAGGCACTAGAATCATTTGAATCTGGGAGGTGGAGGTTTCAATAGTCTGAGATCGCACCGCTGCACTCCATCCTGGGTGACAGAGCAAGACTCTGTCTCAGGAAAAAAAAAAAAATTATATATATACATAAAACTATCCTAGTGGGTATGATGTCGTATCTCATTGCATTTTTTTTTTTTTTTTTTTTAAACACAGAATCTTGCTCTGTCACCCAAGCTGGAGTGCAGTGGTGTGAACTTGGCTCACTGTAATCTCCGCCTCCCAAGTTCAAGTGATTCTCCTGTCTCAGCGTCCCATGTAGCTGGGATTACAGGCGCGTACCACCACACCCTGCTAATTTTTGCATTTTTAGTAGAGACGGTGTTTCACCATGTTGGCCAGGCCGGTCTTGAACTCCTGACCTCAGGTGATCTCCCCACTTTGGCCTCCCAAAGTGCTGGGATTACAGGCATGAGCCACCGCACCTCGCCCTCATTGTATTTTTTTTTTCTTGCATGTTCTTCCAGTGAAACATTATATTTTGATTTTTGTTTCTGTGGTGATTATTGATGTTGAGCAACTTTTCATGTGCTTATTGACCATTTGCACATCATCTTTGGAGAAATGTCTGTTAACATCCGATGCCCTTTTAAAAGATGTGTTGCTTGTTGAGATTGAGTTTTTTATGTATTGTGGATACTGCATTCTTATCAGATACATGATTTGCAGGTATTTTCTCCCTTTCTATGGATTGTCTTTTCTGACTTTATTCTTTTTAATGGCTGAAGGCTTAATTACTCTAACTACTTGGCATTGATGAGCCTTATATTTAGCTCTTTCTGTTAGTAGACAAGTTTCCCCTTTTGCTCTTAAAGCCACAAAGATTTGTTTGGTCTATGTATGAGAATAACTTAAAATTTTAAACATCTAGCTTGGTACAAAGGAAGAGCAGAAACTGGTTCAACTTTTTTTTTTTTTTTTTTTTTTTTTTTGAGACGGAGTTTCGCTCTTGTTACCCAGGCTGGAGTGCAATGGTGCGATCTCGGCTCACCGCAACCTCCGCCTCCTGGGTTCAGGCAGTTCTCCTGCCTCAGCCTCCTGAGTAGCTGGGATTACAGGCACATGCCACCATGCCCAGCTAATTTTTTGTATTTTTAGTAGAGACGGGGTTTCACCATGTTGACCAGGATGGTCTCGATCTCTCGACCTCGTGATCCACCCACCTCGGCCTCCCAGAGTGCTGGGATTACAGGCTTGAGCCACCACGCCCAGCCTGGTTCAACTTTTTTTGGTCTATTTTCTGTCCACTTATGTGCTCATTTGCCTTTTTTGGTTTTGTCTAGACAGTGGTCATGTTCATCAGTCACATGTTATGCTTATGCACTGAAACTTTTTTCTTGCCCTTAGTATTTAATGTAGGATTTCTATCTAGGTTAAATATTTATATAAAAGTAACACCACAGATTGATAGTTTAAAGCACAGAATTAAAAGAGGACAGAATGTCTACATTTACAACACTCTGGCCACCCGGTGCTTTTTGGTGGGATTAAAGAAAACTAATTTGTCAGCGTAGCCTCTGAGAGTGACCAGTTAACAGCCATATGGATTGTTTAAACGTTTTGTTGAAGAAAATAACACAATTAATTTCAGTCCTGTTAATACTGTGATTGATGAGGTGGTATACCATCTAGGTGCCAATGAAGACCATTTCTCAGAATCAGAAAAATTTGAATAATTTTATATGATTGTATAACATTTACCAGCTTATATTAAAAAATAGATTTCTGGCAGGGCACTGTGGCTCAAAGAAAAAGAGAGAGACATGCACACTAACATTTGGATTAGGAAATTACGTTCAGGAATAATTTTTGTGAAGTACCCTATTTTTTTCAGGGGGTAGTCCAGAAATAGGCCTTTCAAATAGTTTTATTTTGCATCTGCTTATTTTCTTTCATGACAACACCTCTGTGAGGAAAGTTCGACATTATTCTATTTTGGAGGTTGAGGAATGAAGGCGTCCAGCCAGGAGGGAAGTGGTAGGGTCCACTGTGGTTAAGATTTGGATCTGACTCAGCACTGCAGCTCCTACCGGTGGTGTGACAGGTGCTGTGATGTCTTGAAGCCTCAGTTTTCTGATCTGTAATCAGAGAAGATAGTGGTAATCACAGCTAGTTCAGAGGGGATTTGGAGGATTAAATGAAAGCGTATTTGGGGTGTTTAGCCTAGTTCATGGCTCATGGGAAGCCCTCAGACAGTGGGAATGGCAGGACACAGCTGTACCCAGCTGGGGAGCAGGAGTGGTCCATATTCAGATCTTGGCATTGATGAGCCTTGTATTTAGCTCACGATTTAAAACAAGATGTTCTTGTTACGAAACCAAAGTATTTACTTTTTCCTGTTGTAAAACCCTCACTTCCCTGTATGTTAAGAGCCAGTCACATGGTGGCAAAATAATTTGTGTCATTGCAATCTGTTGTGGTTACGTTTGTGCAAAAGTGATTGATTTCATCAACTTCCTCTTCACCATATAGAGTGTTCCCGTTGATAATCACTTCCAAAAAGTTGAAGACCATTTCTCAGAATCAGAAAAATTTGAATAATTTTACATGATTGTATAAGGTTTAACAGCTTATATTAAAAAACAGATTTGTGTCTGGGCACTGTGGCTCAACGCCTGTAATCCCAGCACTTTGGGAGGCCAAGGTGAGTGGATTGCTTGAGCCCAAGAGTTGGAGACCAGCCTGTGCAACATGGTGAAACAAAAAATTTAGCTGGGTATGATGGCATGTGCCTGTAGTCCCAGCTACTTGGGAGGCTGAAGTGGGAGAATCACCTAAGCCTGGAAAATTGAGACTGCAGTGAGCCTAGATCACACCACTGCACTCCAGCCTGGGTGACACAGTGAGATTCTGTCTCAAAAAAATCAGGTTTCTGTGGTTCTTCCAATAGCTACTGGAAAACAAACTAGTTCAGGCAGACAAATAAGTATAGAGAAAATATAATAAACATTGTAAGTGTACCTCCAGTTTAAAAAATGAGACATGAAAAAGACAGCTGAAGTTCACTATGTTATTGAAATTTTTGTGAGGGACATCCCAGAAAGAACCACTGACTTGAACTTGGTGTTTATTATTTAAAATTGGGTGTTTTTTTTTTTTTTTTAATGTCTTTTTTTTTTTTCCCACAGCTATCTGCATCATATTGGTGCATTTACTGATCCGATACAGATTACATTTCTTGCCAGAGAGTGTTGCTGTTGTTTCTTTAGGTAAGTGCATATTGGTGATTCCATAATAAAAGCAGTAACAGTAACTACCGTTTTTTGAGTGTGTCTTTAGTGCCAGCAACCACAGGAGATGCATCACATCCCTGATCTCATTTAATCCTCACTGCAACCTACCCTAAGGGTATTATGGTCCCATTTTACAGATGAGGACACTGGGGTTCAAGAAGGGTAGTGACCTCCTAAAGGTCATGTAGAAGCCCAAAGGCCATACAGCTCTGTAAGCTTAGAGGCCCTTTCTTAGCCTTTTAATTCTGATAGAACTACCCTTAGGGAACATTGACCTCTACTACTAGGCTAGGCTGGCATCCAACTCAACTAAGGTAAGTAATGACATTTCATAGAATCACTCAGTTTTGGCTGGGCATGGTAGCTCACACGTGTAATCCCAGCACTTTGGGAGGCCGAGGTGGGCAAATCACCTGAGGTCAGGAGTTTGAGATCAGCCTGGCCAACATGATGAAACCCTGTCTCTCCTAAAAATACAAAAAATTAGCCAGGTGTCATGGCACATGCCTGTAATGCCAGCTACTTGGGAGGCTGAGGCAGGAGAATTGCTTGAACCCGGGGGGCAGAGGTTGCAGTGAGCTGAGATCACGCCATTACATTCCAGCCTGGGTGACAGAGTGATACTCTGTCTCAAAACAAAAAGAATCACTCAATTTTTTAGACAGAAGGGGCTCTGACTTTACAGTTTAGGAGGGAGAAATGGCTCACTTGATGCCAGACTCAGATCTAAAGTCTTCAGAGAGCGTTCCGTTCTACCCCACTTAAATTTCTCTTTTGTTTCCTGTGCCAATTAAGTGTTGAGATCTAGTTGCAGTGAATGAATTCATGTAATGACAGGTGTGAATGCACACGCAAGTTTAGGAAGTGAAGGAAGTGGGGAGTTTCAGTAAATAGAAGTTCGGGACAAAAATGTGGGTGGAGACACATAAGGCACAGTAAATGAAGTCTTGCTAAGGTCAGCCAAAGGTTTTTACCAGTTTATTATTTTGTGGTTACTTGCACAAGTTTCCCCTTGCCAACTAATGGCATTTAATTTTTCCTGATCATCGCTGATGTTCAGAAGTTAACTTTCATTGCCTGGTAGATCTTTAGTGGAGTAATAGTTCTTTCACAAGATAGTATTATTTAGGTTGGCTTTGGAAATGATCATTCAGATTCTGTTCACTAGCTTCCCTCTCCTTCCATCACCACCAGCAGTTCTGCTACCTTGGTTCAGACTCTCCTGAATTTTCCCTCAGCCTCAGTACTACTCAGTGCCAGATTCTGGCCTGTGAGCCTTCACAGTGTCATCTCATTTATGCCTTATGACCTCCAGGTGATGCCGTATTTTAAGGAATGGGCACCACTGCATAGTATTGATCTTCAGTACAAGTTTGGAAACCAGTTTTACTCAGAGTTCTTGTTTTCTTTTAGCATGTTTTTTAGCAGTGTATCTTGGTAGACCCTTAGCTAATAAAATAGTTCTAGAGCTCTAAGAATAGAAGGCTTGTTCATTAATATTCCTTTCTGCTATTAGGCATATTGAAAAGAATGTATGTGGCTAATACTCATAATTCTGGCACATTCAGTAAAGGCTTGCACTACTCCAAAGAATTTACAGTTTTGTGGTCAGCTTTATAGCTTTTTAAAGAAATTTGCTATCAAAATTATAGTTGGTGTGTATTTAAATATTAATACATATGCAAATTAAAATGATAATTATAATTTGGTTTGGAATTTTTTTCTTTCTTTTTTTTCTTTTTCTTTTTTTTTTTTTTTTTTTGAGACGGAGTTTCGCTCTTGTTACCCAGGCTGGAGTGCAATGGTGCAGTCTCAGCTCACTGCAACCTCCGCTTCCTGGGTTCAGGCAATTCTCCTGCCTCAGCCTCCTGAGTAGCTGGGATTACAGGCATGTGCCACCATGCCCAGCTAATTTTTTGTATTTTTAGTAGAGACGGGGTTTCACCGTGTTGACCAGGATGGTCTCGATCTCTCGACCTCGTGATCCACCCGCCTCGGCCTCCCAAAGTGCTGGGATTACAGGCTTGAGTCACTGCGCCCGGCCTTTTTTTTCTTTTTTTAGACAAAATCTTACTCTGTCGCCCAGGCTGGAGTGCCATGGCACAGTCTCAGTTGACTGCAATCTCTGCCGCCCGGGTTCAAGCGATTTTCCTGCCTCAGCTTCCTGAGTAGCTGGGATTACAGGTTCCTGCCACCACGCCTGGATAATTTTTAAAAAAATTTTTAGTAGAGATGGGGTTTCACCATCTTGGCCAGGCTGGTCTTGAACTACTGACCTCGTGAAATCCACCTGCCTTGGCCTCCCAAAGTGTTAAGATTACAGGCGTGAGCCACGGTGCCTGACTTCTGGTTTGGAATTTCAAACTTTTCATATTTCTTGAATGTTTGGGTAACTGCAGCTTGCTGAACACCAGTGCTTCTATTAGGCTTAGAGCAGATGTTGTTGGTTGCTTACCAAAGAGTCATTTCCCCCTTCTTCCTTGAAAGTAGAACCCCAGTTTTGATCAGGTATCTTGCCACACTGTGCTCAAGGAAGATGGGCCCCTCCAACTCAAGACTGGTCTTTGCCATCATGTTAATTTCACTCTTTGCCAATGATTGGTTGAGAGGGGTGGAGGCAGCGAGGCAGTGTGAAACCCAGCTCCGGCCAGTGACACCAAGGGGAAGTATGAGGAGGTGGTGGGTCCTGGAAAATGTTTTCTTCTTCGATAGTAATGAGAAATTTCTCCTTCCTTTCTTTGATGCAGCTGAATAAGATTGTGATGCCTAATGTATGGGTAGCCATCTTGCAACTACTGTGGCTCAAAGACAAAAGCCAGAATGCTAAAGATTGCCAGGGGGACAGATGGGAATCCCAGATTCTTGATTGCATTGTTGCTTTGTTGAATTGATAGCCCTGAAGCTTCCTATCTTAGTGCTACTCATTATATGAGATAATAAACATCTATTAGCTATTGTTAATTTGGAGTAAAGAGAAAAAAACCAACATTTGTTATTTAAGCCATTTTTAGTCTAGGTTCTTTTTTTTTTTTTTTTGAGACGGAGTTTCGCTCTTATTACCCAGGCTCTAGTGCAATGGCGCGATCTCGGCTCACCGCAACCTCCGCCTCCTGGGCTCAGGCAATTCTCCTGCCTCAGCCTCCTGAGTAGCTGGGATTACAGGCACGCACCACCATGCCCAGCTAACTTTTTGTATTTTTAGTAGAGACGGGGTTTCACCTTGTTGACCAGGATGGTCTCGATCTCTTGACCTTATGATCCACCTGCCTCGGCCTCCCAAAGTGCTGGGATTACAGGCTTGAGCCACCGCGCCTGGCTAGTCTAGGTTCTTTTACTTGCAACTAAAAGCATCTTAACTAACATAGAACTCTTTCTATTCAAGGGACAAAACCCAATTTAAAAGAAAACAAATTGAAGGCGAGGTGGCTTATGCCTGTAATCCCAGTACTTTGGGAGGCTGAGGCGGGCAGATCGCCTGAGTCCAGGAGTTCAATACCAGCCTGGCCAACATGGTGAAACCCCGTCTCTACTAAAAATAGAAAAATTAGCTGGGCGTGATGGCAGGCACTTGTAGTCCCAACTACTCTGGAGGCAGGAGAACCACTTGAGTCCAGGAGGTGGAAGATGCAGTGAGCCCAGGTTACACCAGAGCACTGCAGCCTGGATGACAGAGCAAGACTTCATCTCAAAATGAACAAACAAAAAATTGGTTTGAGGTCACACACCTGTTGGCTCATATAATTGGCAGAACTACAGGTAATATTAGCTTGAGACAGCTGAATCAGGTCTCCTGGACCCAGTTATTCTCCATGTCTCAGCAGTGAATCCTTTTTCCTTGACTTCACTCTCAGGCAGGTTCTCCATCCACAGGTTCATTTCTTCACTGATGTTGCAGAAATAATTGCACAGCCAGGTCTTGGGAGAAGTGATGGCAGCCTTGCTTTCAATACTTATTTGCTAACTCAGGTGACTGAAAACCTAAGAGCAGTTCCAGGGAGAGTGCTGGGGTCCAGAAAGTACTTTTTAAAAATTACATTAGAGGACATTCGGTTAGAATTTGCATATGCTGACATAGCTATCAAAATAATTCTGTATTTCATAAAGTATAGAAATTAAAGGAAAAATTTTTTCTCAACTGGAACAAAGTGTAACTAAATATTGAGATATCTACCATTTCAACAATTTCCACCTTTTGTGCCAAAAAAGAATCTAGATGAAGATGCCAGAGAAAGTAGGGTTTTCATTCTTTCAGGGATAAATTTTCCTTGCCTGCCAGAGTTTACTTTGTAGTTGGCAGTCATTTCGAGACATTGTTGGTCTTTTGGTTTATAGTTCGGTGTTCAGCGTTCTTAAGAAATTGTTGGTATAGCAAAGGACCATCTGTACTCTAAAAGCACATGTCCCCCCTTCTACTTTATTGTATTTTTAAATGAGTGTCTATCTGGCAACTTTTTATTCTTTATAAAAATATAGTATCAACCTGAAGTTCTTTTTTTTTTTAAATTAAATAATTTTTTTTAAATTTATTTTTATTTTTTAAAAATTTTATTATTATTTTTTGAGATGGTGTCTTGCTCTGTTGCCCAGGCTGGAGTGCAGTGGCTGTTCACAGGTGCAATCCCACTACTGATCAGCACGGGAGTTTTGACCTGCTCTGTTTCCGACCTGGGCCGGTTCACCCCTCCTTAGGCAACCTGGTGGTTCCCCGATCCCGGGAGGTCACCATATTGATGCCGAACTTTGTGTGGACACCTGATGAGCATAGCGCACTACAGCCCAGAACTCCTGGGCTCAAGTGATCCTCCCACCTCGGCCTCCTGAGTAGCTGGGACTACAGGCCTGCGCCACTGTGCCCGGCAACCTGAAGTTCTGAAGAGTTCCTTGGACCCTGTTCCAAGCTTTCAGGATACTTTCTCTACCTTACGGAATTCTGTAGTTTTGGCCTTTTAAAAACTATTTCCTTTTGTACAGCTAAA